CATCAGGATGAATGACATGTATTGTTTTGCCTTGGTCCACAGGACTGTCATAAAAGGAAATGAGATTTGCTTGACTCCAAATTGTTCTCAGCAAATCCATCTTGACTGATTAATCATCCGTTATCTTTTAGGTCTTTGCAAATAACTTCGGTACTTCTGTTTCCTCAAACAAATGAAATTAGACTGGTCCATAATTCTTCAGTCCTTCCTCCTCCCCAATATCTTCTTGAAAATGGACAGAATTTTGGCATTTTCCTAGTCTTCTGTCACTTGTCAATCCCCTGAGTTCTTAAAATAGTTATTGATGGGAGAGACATAATGAGCCTACTCTGTAAGCGTGGTTTCTGTGCCAAGTCATTTGCTATGATCGGACTTATCCCAAGTATTCTCCAACATTGTTTCATCTTATTAAAATCTAAGAGCTTAGCTCTCTGCCCTTGCTATTAATTATGATAGTCCCCTGGTCACAGTTAATTCTTTTAGCAAAGAATGATGTGTCAAAAAAAAAATAAAAAAAAAGCATTACATACTTAGAGTGTTTAAAGTTTTTTCTGTTTTGTCTTTTCCTTGTGTTCAGTAGTAGCCTAATATTTCAATTCTTCTGACTGCTGCTGTATTTATAGAAAAAATTGCTTATGATGTCCTATACTGATGACTTTGAACTTTGTACCACAGCCTTTGTCTATGCATTAATGTGTTATGCTGCCTGTATTTAGTAGCTTGGTCCTAGTTTTCATCTCCTGTAAGCTCCTTTTTTGAATTGAAGGTCATGACAAACTGATGACTTATGCTACTACTAGGGAAAATTGTAGTAGAAGACTATACTTTCTCTACAGTGAAATAGTTTCCTGATGGAAACTTTTTTTTTTTTTTTTCTGAAGCAAGGAAAGAATTGTCTTTCTGCTCTAGGTTTCCTCCCCTTTGGGGTTGTAGTAACTGTATTTATTGAAGTCTTCTTTTCTGAAACTATCAGTTTCTGCTTTCTTCTCAGAACCCTTTTTTTTTTTTTTTTTTTTTTTCTTTTTTTCCTGGAGATTGTGGATTTCTTTTATGTTCATTCTCACATAGTCCACCTTCTCCATAATATTTTCAACCAGTTCTCTCTGTTGGCTCAAATCAAATCTATCAGAGCCTCTCCTGTCATTGTTTTCTTCCAAATCCTCGATCAAAATTTATCATTTATATTCCTGGATCTTCCTAGCTTGTCTATCATTTGGTAGATATCCTTTCCCAACAGCTGTTGGTTGATTAAAATCCCCTTAATGCTACTAGAAGTTGGGACAGTTTCATTGGCTGCTTGACAACTTGTGTTTCCCATATCTTCATGACTTAACTTTTAAGTCTACATTCATACCACATTTTTTTCAGCAGACCTATATTACTGAGAGAAATGGACTTTGGAGTTGGTGTGTATACCTTTGATAATTTGGGAACAGATTATATATCTTTCTTTCCTTGATGAAGAAGCTTCTTTGGCTAGTCCACTTTTCAATTATTTCACAAAGTCTTTATTTTACCAACTAAATTGTGATTTGGTTAGGTATTGAGACCTCTGTTTTTCACTTGTTGACATCTCTTGCGTTAATAATAAGCGTATCTGTTATCCCTCTTGCTTTTTTGACCTTGCATTGAATAATTGTGGTGTTTTCATTTTTAGATCCTAATGAAGCCAATATTTCTTTATCCTTTTTTGATACTTTTTCATAGCTTCATTTCTTTCCCTGTTCTGCCACATGATGACTTGAAAGTTCTCCTTCCTGCTGTAGCATGTCTGTAGGCAAAGACTTGGTGGTGATCTGGGAGAGTCATCAGAAAATTCAGATTATTTCTTGGTGTATGCTAGCTACTCTGCACTGTGAACTTCATGATCCTGTTAAAATCAAATGGAAGGTCTTAAGGTTCCTAGTATATGCCATCAGACTATGGTAAATGTTACAAATAGTTTTAAGGAAAACTATGCTGAAATCAACAGTACCTGTAAGGGGAAGAAATGACTCAAGCATTGAAAAAATCTCACAGACTTCCTTCGGATTTAAATTTCCACTTGAGAATTCTGCAATTTTTTAAGCTTAAAAAGTGCGTATTTTAGGATTTCAGACAACAGTGACTGTTCTCTCATGAGAGAGGAAAATACGTGTGTGTAAACTAAAGAGGATCTTGCAGCTTCTGAATACTGATTATAGGCAGTAAGATGCCTTTTAGAAACTGAAGTAAGCTTATCTCTTTATTTCTTACTACCAACATTAGCTCCATTTCCCAAAGTGAAGTAAGATTTCTGTGTGGAACCCTGACATATCTTCTAGAATAGATATTTCTGAACAGCTGCTTCAATGAACTTCCAATTTTTTGGCCAGTAATTTTAAGTGTTCACTTGAGTTACATATACAGCACTGTGAACTATAGAAAAATTGAGTTCTAAACAAAATCTGTAGCTTAGCAGTATTCCCAGAGCCATTTACCAGCTGTGGTGTACTGTAGCTAGAACAAAGAAGAAATAAACATTTTCATTCTGTAAATGTATGTCTTTCTATCTGGAATTGATAAGGGAGAGTCCACCTACAAAATACAAGTTGCAAAAGAACAACTTCTCCAGGGAGAAGCAGTGTCTCTGTGTGATTCATGGGCAGACAGCATGGTTAAAATAGTTCAATTTTAGTCTTCCCTGCCTGTTATAAGTACCTGCTGACGTAACGTACCTTTGTTTGTTCTGCATTAATGAGTTATCCTGAAGAGGTTATGAGAAACAGAAAACCTTTGCCATGCTCTAGTTACCGCACAGAGCTGTGATAGATAGCAAGGCTACGGGGTAGTAGTGTCATTGATTCGTGTGATGTCCCAGCTGCAGAGCTAGCATCTAACAGTAGATAAAATCATACTCTGTCATGCTGGTAGGTGAAAAACCTGCTCAGCAGAGCTTGGTTTTGTCATTGGAGCATTTGGAGAGTGCTTGGTCTCACTCCCGTAAACTGTTCAACTGCAGGAACTGTGTCTAGATATCTCAGGCATAGCAGGCAGGAATATCAAAGTTCAAAGACTCTGATGTGCTTCCCAATATTAAAAATAATGAATAAACATAGCAGAGAATATCTTTTGATAACTTAGGATATGAGACACGTTTTCCCCCTAACTGGGAAAATGAAGTAAAACTTCATGGGTTAGCATAAAAAAAAATGGTTGATTTGCATTACAGGAGCAAGTAGAGGAACCAAACATTATTATGATGTTACTGTCAAGCAGAAGAAAGGATCCTTATTACATTTAACACATGGAAAACTCTGGAAATGTGAAGCTGAAAGGGTTTGCTTTGGGCATCCCACCAGTTCTGAGGCAGCTGTGAACCTGTCCCAGTCCTGAGCACTGAGCATGACTGTCCATTTGAAGGAGGGGGTCATCTGACTGGCAGTGGCCACTTTAGACTGGAAGATTTATCTGGCTTTTGTTAGCTGTGATAAATGGTAAAATTCTATGAAACTCCATGGGAGGTATGAAATGGTCTCAAATCTTCTGCTGTGCTTCTGTGTTGGTCTCTTTTTAAGAGCAAAATGAATTCCCTGATGATGCAGATCTGTAAACACTAGTTATAAGGTTCTGAGTCTAGCAAGGCTAAGGGATTTGAGGTTGTGAAGGGAGGCAATCTGCAGCGGAGTTGGATGTGACATGAAGCTTAGTACTATGAGCGATGCCTCCTGTTACTTGCCTTGAGCAGCTCCCTGCTCAGTGTCTCAGCTTCAGTGGATCTGATTTTAACTTTTTCCTCTCCATCTGTGTGTTTGGTCTGTGTACCAAGGCCACATGATGCCAGCTGTTGCGTTCAGCTAGGTTGTCCCTGTTCGGGGAGGCTGCTGGGTGAGTCACTGATGGTGCTTTTCAAGGGGAAGCAGCGATCGTTTCCCCTGCCCAGAAGGTTGGAACAAAGACAATTGTGTATGTATTTGAAGGAAACTTACAGAAATAGTGCTCCCAATCCAGATGTGCTGTTCAGTCCTATACTCTGAAAAGTAACCTATTTATTCCAAGTAGGTCACGGAAAAGTTTTGGGAGAAGCAGGGAGGAAAATTACAGGGAGAGCAAGCGACGGTGGTGACAAAATGAGTGTTTGACCTCAGAATGTTAGTACAAGGGAAATTAAAAATCCTAAAACCACTTCACAAACAGATTTGAGCGACTGAGACAGTACCTTAATACTACAATTGTTTCAGCAGTTGCCTTCTGCTCCCTTAAAATTTCTGAGCCAACAGGAGCCTGAAATGAAATAGTAAACAAATTCTTAAAAAAAACTAAGTAATTTTAACCTCAGAGACAAGTAAAGTTGCCACGTACATATAAATATAAGAGACCTCTAGGATTTGTATGGGATTGTTTTATTGTCACGATGATTAACTGTTTTACTGATGTCGTGGTTAGACAAGTCTTGTAATTGGAGTGTGGCCCTTATGCAGCTCAGGCAGAAGACACAGCCGTTGCTGTCTCAATTAAAAAGCTGCCTCCAGCTCGGCATTCTCTTTCAGTGGAAATACTCTTTGCTTGTCACCAGTCACCTATGTTAAGTCTTTCATTCCAAGATCTAATTCCTATCCATCAATCCATCTTCTCTGAACCAGCCTCCGTTTTCCAAACCGGTACTCAACAAAAGGGACAGAGATTCTACATCAAAGTCACTTGTGCCTCAACATCCCACAACTTCTCCGTGCAGAAACTCAGCCCCTCTTTTTCTTTGGCACACTGTCCCCCTGGCCCGTCCCGTCCCCCCCTCCCATCCCCGGGCCTACCCCCGCCCCGGGCCCTGCCCCACAGCTACCGGGGCCGCGGAGCCCTGCCCGCCCTGCCCAGGGTGGAGGGAGAAGGGGCAGGCTGGTCTGGTTCGGCTTCCCGGGATGGGTTTAAAGCGGTGCTTCCCGGCCCGCGGGCCGGGCCGTGCCCCGCCGCCGTGTGAGGGGGGAAGGCGACAGCCCCGGGGGCGGGCGGAGAGGGCCGCGCCCGGCGGCCATGCCGCTCCCCGTCCCGTCCCGTCCCGCCCCGGCGGCTGAGGTAAGCGGGGAAACTCGTGGGCGTCTATCCGACGGCGGCTCTCCCCTAATCGGCTCCGCCATCGGTCTCCGCGTATAAAAGGAGCCGCGGCGGGGCGAGGCGGGCAGAGCGCGGCGCTGCCGCCCGCCCGCCCGGCCCCATGCAGCCCGCCATGATGATGTTCTCCAGTAAGTACTGGGCGCGGAGGGGCTTCTCGCTGGACTCGGCCCTGCCGGAGGAGCGCCCGGCGGCCATCGGCAGCCTCACCGTAAGTGGCGGGGGCTTCGCTGCCCGGCCCCCCCGCCCCGGGGGGCAGCGGGAGGAGGGGGCGCTGGGGCAAGGGGAGCTGGAGGTGCGGTGGGGTGGGGTGGCGTTCGGGGGGGGCCCGGCCCCCGGCCCCCTTCCTCTGGACCTCAAGGTGAGGTGAAGAGTTTTTCGGCAGTTGCAGGGGCCGGTGGAACTAACTTTGCAGTCGAATCGGCCCTCATCCAAAACGCCGCCTTAAAAGTGTCTTTGAGTAAAAGTTTCACTAGACATGCAAGCCTCGCCGCAGAAATTAACCCCGTTGCTATTGGAATGATATAAAAAAAGCATAGGGGTCCGGTTCGGGTGGCTTTAGGTGCCTGATTTTTGAAAGGCTTTGATTAGTCCTACGGGTTCAATGCATCAGTAGAATCTGCCTTTTCAAGGCACTCGCAAACCTCACGCCGCGGTACGTGAAACATTTTTGGCAATAAAGCGAACCGCTTGCGCTCACACCGCGTTGGTGCCCGTGGCACTTTCGTTGCTGAGCGACTGCCGAGTAGCAGGGGTGTGAGAATGTGCGGGGAGCATCCTGCTGGGGATGGGCAGCTTCCCGGGTGGAAACCCTGTCAGGAGGTGGAAACAGTTCTCTGTACCGTGATGAGGTGGGTGCAACAGGTGCCTGGGTGATTTCAAGCACAGGATAAACTAATGTATACGTATTTGAATAGGTGTACTTTAATAAGAGTAAAGAATGTTACTAGGTGCTAATAATGTAATCTGCTCTGAATATGTGAAACATTTAGGATTATGAAGACTTTGCCTCCTGTAAAAGTTTGCGACACGTGAAGATTCAGATCACTTGAGTAGAACCAACAGAATGCACCAGTTTGTACCAGTTGTGAACTGCCTATTGACTTTATAGTAAAATATGAAATATCTCTATTTGTACATGCTTTGCTTTTATTGGAAATACTGAATTAAAATGCGATAAATTTGCTTTACTGCCTTTGAGTTACTTTCTTTACTGAGTTCTGCTATAGGTGATTTTTCCTGAGTACTTGCACTTGCTCCAGATAATTCATTTTCATTAGGATAGTAGATCTGCTAGTCGTTATTTAATTATGAAGTGTACTAATGAGCATGACTCATAAGACTGGAGTTCTTGCAATATCACAGCCTCTTCTGGTGAGCTCAAAATAAATAGGTATTCTGGTTTTCACATGCTTGAGAGCCTTTCAGGCATCATTTCAGGTAATGCTCACTTGGGAGTATTAGGGAACCTGTGACTGACTTGGAAGGTGCCAAGTGCTCTCATTTCCCAGAGGAATTGATGGTATTGAGATTCTCAGACACTCAGTTGACTACATGATGCTCAGTACATAGCTTCCAGAAAGCAGCATGCAGTGAAAAATCACAGACGTTATATAAAAATAGCACCTTTGTCACTTCATACGGAGGTTGTGTGCTTGATGTATGTGAAAAGGACTCAGCCAAATCCCAGATATTATTGAAGCTAAAACAAAAGTGACCTTCTGCTAAACTATTTCTGAGCAAACCTCCTACCAAGCAGAATCATATAAGCTCAATTAATAAAAAATAGACCTTTGAAACCTTTCATGTATCATTCTGCTTTTCCAGATTGTTCCTGTGTAGTCCAATAAACAATGAGAAAAGACCACAAAGACTGTAGCATGTCCAGTAACTAGCTTAACTGTGGCTGGTTTAACCTGTGCTATTTAAAGAGTGGCTGTTGATAAGATTATTAATTTTAACTACCAGTCTTTTTAATTCAGTGTGTTCTTATACCTTAAAAAAAAAATTATCTTGGAAGATCCAGTGGGAGCTGACTTGAGAGCTGTGGGCTGTCTATTTAGTAGAGGGAGATATTACAGAGTGGACTAGGATTAAGTAAAATATTAAACCAATTTGATATGAACCATAGGAATGCATTACGGTAGACGTGATGCAAATACTTTGTCGCAGCCACATCCATTTTTAAGAAAACTATTTTATATAATCCAGTTTGAAAAGGAATCAGGCTGAAGCTTACTAATTTTTTGCTGCTTCTAGAAAGACTTGATAAAATTTTGTAAAATCTTCTAGAAGCACAGGGACACCCGGTGCTAAAGTCCATTGTTGCAGGTCCACAGATATAACCTACCCGTAAGGAAAAAATAAGAATAGACATTTAACTTGGCTTTCATCAAGTGTTATGAGACCTGTTCAAAAGCTTCGTATTTGGTTTATTTTCCATAGGCTGCTTTACAATTTACTAAAGGACAATTTAATCCATGTGGAATAGTTATATATGATTCTTAATTTCTATGTTCACATTTTTTTAGTGTCTATATTATGGATGATAAAAAAGCAGTTAGCATCTCATTGGAGATCCAGAAGTCACAGTCTGGGTAGTGGAAAATTCAAGTTGTTTTTTGAAAATCATGGTCAAGCTTATAAAAATTGGATATAAAGTCTGTACTTTTGACATCTCAACAAGATTTAAGCTGATAGAATTACATTTTTTGGAAAATGCTGACTGAAATTTGGTTTAAAGCAGTCTTTGACCCCAACCTTGTGAGAAGAATGTAGAAGTGGCCAAGGATGGTGTAATTTTCTGTATTTTTTTTGAGTTCCTCAGCCAGTTCATCTTCTATGGGAGGTACAGTTTTTTACAAGGAGGACAATCAGCCACTGGAATAATTTCCCTAGGGAAATGGTGGATTCCCCAGCATTAGACACTTTTAAGGTCCATCTGGACAGGCTGCTGGGCCATCTTGTCTAGACCATGCTTTTGTCAAGAAAGGTTGGACCATATGATCCCTGAGGGCCCTTCCAACCTGATATTCTATGATTCTGTGGTACAGTCTATGTTTGTATTTCTGTCCTTGTTTGTATAATCAACAGAGGTTTTGTTTGCTCAGGAAAAATGACATTACATGACAGCATTAATTGTACTACAACAGAGAACATAAGGTTTATGTTTTAAATGTAATGGTTAATACAAAAATACACACCAGTGTAAATCATTGTGAATTGACGGGTACAGGTCAGAATAGCCTCACTGCAATTTTGCAGTGCAGTTTTGCAGCAATATTTAGGTTAGCATAGCATCACTGAAGGCTTTGCAGTAATTTAGACTGTCTCCATTTGCTTCATATTTATTACTAATGATAGCATTGTCTTAATAGTATCGTCATATTTGTATCCCAAACACTTACAGGCTTTTCTTTAAACTTTTTCTAATGGTCTGACCTCTTGCACAATCATCTCTAACAGCTGCCTTTGACTTGTGATTCTGGTTTTAAGTAAATGCATTGCCTTTTAAGTTATGTCTGGATGAGTTCCATTCAGCTATTTTCTAACAAAATTTTTTCCTTGCTTAAAAAGACTTAATTTTGGGAAATGCCTGTTTGTATCTGAGATGATGCTGTTCTTTATCCATTTGTAGCTAAACAGATCAAGTTCTGGGAAAAATGAGGAAAAGAAAGGCAATAAGGGAAATGGAAAAGGTGAATCTGTTTCTGAAGGTGGAAAGACAGCCGTGGTGTTTTCCTTGAAGAATGAAGTTGGTGGGTTGGTGAAAGCTCTTCGACTCTTCCAGGTAAAGCTTACAAGTCATTGCTCTGACTGGACTGAGAAAGGCTACTGAGGTCAGGTTGCTTGTTGGTATGAATCTAATGGACCATGGGGGAAGGAATAGAGTGCAGCTACGCTCTGCAGAATTGAATAAAAGTAACTTAAAATTTTATGGACCATTCAATAAAGCATTTTGGGCTCATGAAGGGTTTTTCTGGAATAAAGTTTAACAGTGATGCTGATGTTCGCACCATTCGCTTTAGATTTCCAACGTGCAATTCTCAACACCGTAAATTAGTTTTGAAGTTGTCTGTGCAGGCCACAGTGAAAGGAGGCACTTTCAGAGAGCAGTTCAGAATCTAAATTAGATAGAGTCAGGTGGTGGTGGCGGCCTTGCAGGACAAACTTTGGTCATGAAGTTAACTGCACTTTTAAGTGCTTGCAGGGTCAGGGCTTTATGTGTCTCACTAGAACGTAAACTGTGACGTGTTGGTTCCCATATAGATCCCCATGCAATCGGTGAATTTTGGTCAGTCTGCTGATACTGCACATAGTCTGCGTGCCTTATTAATAATTGGAAGAGGGCTTGGAGGCATGTCTGAGGGTAGCTAAAGCAAAGCAGTATGATAAAAGTCTTAGGTTGTTCAGGCTGTGCAGTGCAGTGAGGAGAAAGTTAGGAGGCAGCTTGGAGTCTACCTTAAAGGCTGTTGGAGGATGGCCTTAAAAACCATCAGAGGGGTGTAAGTGTGGGAGCACTGGGCAATACCAGTCCTAACTCGCAGGAGCTGGCTCTGGGAACAGATTCCCAAGGCTGATGTAGACGCTTAGATTCCCCAGCCAAGGAAAAGGGGTGAGTTCGACTTGCAGGAGGGAGGCTGCCAGGAGGCAAGGTGTTTAATAGAAAGAGGGGAAGCCTAAATGAGCTAATAGGAGTTGCAGAAGGTGTCATGTTTTCAGTGCAGCTTCTCTCCGAGGGTTAAGTGTCTGACTGCAGCTCTGGCTTAAATGCTTGAATGGGTTTGTACCTGAAATCCTGGATTTACACATCAGCCCCCCTTCTTGGGAACTCTTGGGCATATAACTCACTCTAGTCTCTTAAAACATGTCTGGAAGATTTTGCAGAGATATAACCCCCATTCACATAATTACTTAACAATTTGAGTACTGTGAGGGACAGCTCAGGGTTTTGTTCTATACTCAACCTAGGGTAGATCAGAGTGAATTTGTTACGTGAATGGGTTAGCTAAGGAGATACACCGTATACATAATTTATGGAGCATGCCAGTGAAAGAATTATGTACATATATCCAGAGGTGTAAAAGCAGAGACTGCTGGTTGTCTGTACCAGAGGAGACCTTCATCTGAAATGGACGCTTATGTAAAATACAGCAGACAAATGGAAGTACAAGTATATAGTTCACCCCATTTGGAAGTCAAAAAATGTTTTATTGGCTTCACTGATAAGTGAAAGGATAGCTGTGGAAAGTAACAGATAGATTCTGTCTGGCAAAAAAGGAAAAATCAGAGTCAATAGCAGTATTGTTGAAAACAGTCATCTAGTCCAACCTCCTGTTTTGAAGCAAGGCTATCATAACACTAGATCAGGTCAGCCATTACACATTATGGGTTTCTGTCATTGTTTGACACCTTGGCAGATCAGTAATTGTGGTGGGAGAGATAACCCACAGGAAAGTTTTCATGCTAGAAGTATTTACATACTCATTTTTGTTGCATCATTTAGTTTTGATTGAGACATTGTAATAGAGAATAAATTGAATTATATTTTAATTTTCTTACAATTTTATTACTATTAACACTTTGGGTTATTGATCACTGCTGAAAGATAGATGAGGACTGATGCACAGTTATCCTCACAAAGATATTTTCTCCTCATGTGTTCGTAAGAGATACTGAAACAGTACATGTTTAATAACATCTCTTTAAAAAGCACACTCAAATCTAGTTAAATTAACATTATTATTATGCACATTGCCTAATAAAATCACATTAGAGTTTAATATTTATATCAAAGGTAAATATAAAGTTGCATTAGATTTTTTTTTTATACATGATGGTTTATTGTCCTCTGTAAGAGATTGTCTTGGTAGGTAAAATTAAATCATTAGTTGACTTTCTTCATTAAATATAATAGTTTTATTTTTACTTTCAGTAAACAGATTTTTTTTTTGTCTTCAGTATTTATTAAGCATCAATAACTAGTTGTGTAAATACAAAGTGAGTACTTTCAAAGAAAATACCTTTTGATAACTGGGAAAAACTTTCCTGAGGAATATGCTGTTAATGTTGCCCTTCTAGCTGGTATGTCTGTATTTCACCTGTTATTTGATCTTTCCACAGGAGAAACATGTGAGTATGGTTCATATTGAATCCCGAAAATCGAAGAGAAGGAACTCAGAGGTGGAAATTTTTGTGGACTGCGACTGCAGTAAGAAAGAATTCAATGAACTAATCCAGTTGCTCAAGTTTCAAACTAATATCCTGTCTCTCAATCCACCAGAAAACATCTGGACTGATGAAGAAGGCAAGGCTGCTTTTGTAACACTCGGTTTAGACACTGACAAACGTTTTGCACAGGTATCTCCGTAGTCTTACACTCCAGTACAATCAACTCGCATTCTGTCTTCTGCAGATCTTGACTGTGTCCCTTGGTTCCCCAGGAAGATATCTGAATTAGACAAATGCTCACAGAGAGTTTTGATGTATGGATCTGAGCTGGATGCAGATCACCCCGTAAGTGTAACCTAAAATTGTCTTGTAGATAATTTGTTTAGGTTATTTGCTCGTCAAATAAAAAGCCTGTTGACTACTGTTTTTGAGTACTTTTTTGAGCATATGGTTTTCAGACGGTGGGGGTTTAATTCTCTTCAGTAGTTTCACTAAATTAATTTTCCTTTTCTGTAGTAGGACACCCAAAAAGGAGGTCCTCCAGAAAACTTACTCACTAGAACAACTATGTTCCCTTTTGTTCTGCTTTAATTTATTTATTTTTTTAATTAACTAGTTGATAGGTTTCAAACTGGGAAGAGTTTAGGTCAATGTGACTTTCAGTTTTGCCACAAGTAGCTCCTAGGTAAGAATTGATACTAACCTAGGTATCAGAAAAGAATTATGAAAGAAGACTTGCTTGGGCACTCAGGAGATAGTTACAAAATAAAACACAGCAACATGTTCCTGTTTCTTGGATGCAGCAGATGGGAAGGTGTCTCACGTTGTTTCCTGACTTTGGTGACAGGCGACAAGCCTGCATTTCACACAAGCTGTATCTTCAGTAGTGCCAAATACTCAATGCAGAAGGCAGAAAAATAGATTTGTTATTGTTTTACTTCTTTTGGCTGATGTCCGTAAATGCTTAACCTCTGAGTATTTAGATGGCAGATAATTGCAAGTATTTGTGCTACAACATTTTTACTTGTTATAAATCCAAGCTTCTACCTTTGGACCGCTTGGCTGAAAGTTACTGGCGGTAGCTAGATGTATTCCTTCCTAAACCAGGCTGGATTAAACTGGTATTGTAAGAAACTTCCAGCTGAAAGGAAGTAGGTAATGAACTAAGATATTTGACCATAGGACTGTCTTGTAATAGAATCAGATTAAACTCTAGCTGTAGGTGACAGTCTCCTTTGTTTTTTGTCACACATTTTTGTTGGTATTGTGCAAGGTGGTGAGGAACGGCCCCAAAGAGTTGTGAGTGACTGCAGAAAGATCAGTTTTGTGTACGGGACTTCCTAGCGACGCATCTGCATTCCACAGTGCTGCAGTGCCTGTGCACACTCCTCCCTGGCGACCGCCGCGGTTCCCAGCCGGCGCTGCACCACGCTGTGGGCCCACAGCAGGGCAGCGCGTTCCTGGATCCTGGTTTCTGCCATGTACCTCTTGATAACAAACTAGGATTTACCTCACATTTTATCAGAACGGAAAAGTCTGTTGATTACCTTCAACCATTAACAGTAATTTGGTTCAAACAGAGGCTATAGTGGCAGCTCATTCTAGCCTTGAGTTGATGACTCTGATGGGCCATTTGATACTGTTTTATGTTCTGAGCTGGTGCCTTCATTAAATACTTGAGTGCTCTGCTGAAAATGTGCCTTCAGTTTTACAGACAATGAAAAAAGACATTTGCATTATATGAATATATATTTTACACTTAGGGGAACTCTTACAAACATAATTCACACACCATTTGTTAGCCTATGCAGCATGCTAGGTATTAGAGATGGGGGAAAAAAACTGTAAAATCTGTGACTGGCCTTTCAAAGGCCACTTCTGGTGCCTGCCTTGTTCCTTAGCGGTGGCGTGTAGGTGCCAAAGGACCAAAGAGAATTACCCTATTACAGAACCAGCATAGCCCTAACCCACTGCATATTGGCTAACGGTCTCGGTCTCAGTTTCACTACACATGACAGGCTTTTAAATCCCCTGTGCAGTCTTCCATCACTTTTTACCTCCTGAATGGTCTGCAGCTGAGGAATTTAGTGCTTATGTCAAAAGGTATTAAGCCAACACGGAGGCTCCCCCAGATTACAGTAACTTTTTGCCAGTCAAAAAGCTTTACTGTGTAGGAGTGGAAGCCTGAAGTTTTTCTGCACTCCTCTGACATCCTCCCTTACTTTCCCCCAGCAACGCAGCCTTCTGAGCTTTCTGGAAGCTCGTGCAAATATTTCAAATCAAACAATGTTATCTTTTCATTCCCTTCAGTGATTTGTGTTTGTGCGTGTGAGTAGTAAGGACAAAACACATTTTACTTTTCGGCTCTGACTAGCAGAAACCTAAATGCATTTTCTGGGCTACTAACTGGGGAACTTAGATAACTCTCTACTCCTTTCATCTTCAAGAGGTTGGTAGTTCTGCCTTGAAAATAGAAGACTTTCTGTAGTCCAAAACCTGAAGTGTCTACGTCTTTTATAGGTATAGAAGAGATCTTGTTTTAGTTTCGAATAGCTCAAAGGGCTGTAGCTGGCTGGTGTGTATGTGTTATACAGCTCTTCTGCACTTAATATGGAAAAGGTGTGAGCTTACTGTAGCCCACAAGGTTGAGCCCTTCCTCTGAAACTCAGACTGGAGCAGTATGCATATTTGCTGCTGGAGGTTGATGGTTCAGTCCCTAATGTGTTGTTTAAGGTGGCAGCTGCTGAGGTAGCATCTTCAAAATGAATTGTGTCTGAATTCTGGGTGCTTGATTCTTCTAGTGAAGAAAGGTATATTAAGGATAGGTAAATTATTCTGCTTTGTGCCTGTGTGTAATTTCCATTCAGATAAGGAAAACCTGAGTGAGATGATATGACAAGGAAAAAGTTTCCCTTTTTCAACATCTTGGGTGAATGACTGTACCTATGTTCACACCTGCTTCAAAAAAACTCCCGCGGGACTTTGGTGGGGAAAAAAGTGAAGAAATCCATATTTTCTCTTGCAGTCCAGTAGATAGTGTTAATCAAAACACAATATAATTAGGTACTAAATAAACACTTCAGTGATTTATTTTATAATTCTTACAGCTAATTTTCTGTCCTTACTGTAAATTACTCTTTTTCTTCCTTGCTTAAGGGATTTAAAGACAATGTCTATCGACAAAGAAGAAAGTACTTTGTGGATGTTGCCATGAGCTACAGATAGTAAGTACTGACATAATTCTTCCCCATGCTGCTGATGAGTTAGAATTCATGCTCTACTTAATTCTGTAGGATGAAGTTTAACAGCAGACAAAGTAATCCTTTAAACTGACTAGTTTAGTGTAGGCTATAAATGACAAACCTGATGCCCGAAATCCTGTTGCATTTTTGATATAGATACAGGCAAGTAAAGCATTTGAAAGGTAAGCACTATCTCTTCAGCATTTTATTCATAGCTGCTTAAACTTAAGAAACTCTTTTACAAATGCTTGCATATCTTAATGACAAACTGCTTCACTGCTGAATCTCATGTACCTAGCATCCTTATGTAGTTGGACAAGCTCACTAAAAAATTAAATTACTATATTCTTTTAATGTGATTACCATACTGGACACTACAAAATGCCATTTACCGATTTTGCCAACACAGCTCTAAATTTCTCAGAATTCAGTCAGTGGATTTCTCTGTAGTTAGTGGAGCTGGTGTCTGTGCACAAATACACTGCATGTATTTTCTCAATTTGATTTTTTTTTTTACCCACGTCAAGTCAGTATTTTCAATTTGCTGCCATCCCTGGAATTAGGAAACTTTCTGTGCTACCTACAAATACCTACTGTGTTGCAATTTTCTTGTCACAGAGGCATTCAACTAATTCTGGTCATATTCTTGGTTTTATTTGCAACAGGCTTAAGCCCTCATTCTTAAGGGAAAGAACATACTAATTTAATGTTCTTTTCCATTTTATCACACTTCTTCAGGTTTTTCATTTTTTCCTTTGAGATTTCTACATACCTTGTTTAAAGAATATAAAACACAGCAATTTTTTTAACCCTTTGTAGAAGGCACTTCCTGTCAGGAAGCAGTTCAAAAAAGGATTTTTGAAGGTTTTTCAATTCTGTTTTTTTGTTTTTAATATAAGGCTAGTATACAGGCTGCAGAAAGGTGGGTTGACAGGAGGATTAACTCTGCTTTGTTGACCATATTATCCCGATTATATTTTTCCTTTACTTTTGTCCCATGCCTGTCATTAAGCTACTACCAGTCTAATAAATGTGTAAGTGCTAGTGTCAGTTCCCCTTTTTTCTGCCCATGCTGGCATTTGTTTAGCTGGGTGCTTATGACATTCATCCAGCACACTGAGCTGCTGCCTGCTGGGAGCAGGGTACTGGTTGGTAGAGAAGCTTCCTAGGCTGACCAGGAAAATCCTAAATTTAGCCAGCTTTCAAATGTAAATTGAGACAGTTTTTTTTGTTTGTTTGTTTACAGCTGATTGATTTATTATCTTTTTTTTTTCAGTTTAATGATTGTGGCAGAGTTAGTTCTTCTTGCCTAGCATTTATTGCAGTGTGAAATGTCAAGCAGGTACCTGTGGGTGAGGGCAGACTGTGTGTGCTCCTAGAGCTCTTTCAGTAAATTGGATTGTTCTCCATTTACCCGTGATGGTAGCAGAGGTGCCATGCATTTCACAGCTGCTAAGTTGCTGGAAATATCTGCCTCCCTTCTCTCTCCCAGCTGCCTAAGTGTTGGAAAGATCATGTAGCTGTCTTACTAAACAGTGGTTGGTCTTCTGTACAAAGGCTTCTTTTTTTCACCCTGGAACCAGTGAGAAGCATATTTTCACAAAAATTGTATAGAGTAATCCTGCATATTCCCGGAAAAACAAGTAAAGGAAAGGAAAAATTTTTTTCCTTCTTTAGATTTTGAAGGCTCAAGAACTATCTCTGCAGGCACATTACAAAAGTCAAACAACCCAAACCAGAGGTTATTTGGGAGACAGATCTTGTGCTTTAGCAAAACTCTTGGAAGTACTCCTTCACTCCACTGATCTTGTCAAACCTTTAAAAGTTTTCAAACTCTTCCTGTTATTACAAGCAGAGGGAAAACAAGATGCTTCAAATATTTTTAGTCAGGGACCACAAAATGACTGGAAGGCCAGTGTTTAGGGCAGTTACCTAAGATGTGGCAAAACCTCATTCTTACTCCTCAGGTCTCCTGCAGTGGTTATCTTAACCCCAGGGATGTGCCATGTCTGCTGGGCTGTGCAGTCAGTCTCTGCGTGTGCCGGTAGAGACAGCCCAGGGAGACATTTACCCTCAGTGTCCTGCAGCTCAGCCTAAGCCACGCTGAGGAAAGGCTAATCAGCTCAGGGAGGACTCTGTGCTGCTGCAGCTAAGATGCTGCTGCTGCTACCCATGCTGGGAAGCTCAGAATTAATATAGGTGTCTCAACACTACATTGCAGCCTCATCACACTCTCTTCTGTGGTCTAATGACTATTTACTTACTTATACAAAAGGAACGGCTCTGTTGTAAGGACTGCTTCCCTTAGGGATAAATTCAGAGCATTGTCTTGAACCTTTCAGTGTCTTCCAGGTAAGTGACCTTCCTAATTGCTTACTGAGGCTTGATGCCATTTTCCAGTGTAAAAAAAACTCCAGTTGTTTCCTTAAAAAAATAACAAAGAGATTTGGCTGCTAACAATTGGCTGCGAGGAATTGGTTCTGTAAAAAAGTTGTTGAGTTGAAAATCCTGGATCAGCATTTCATTTATGAATGGGTGTTAAAGGGAAAGACATGTTAATAAGAGCACAGCAGTGAAGATCAGCTGTATGAAATAAATGGACCAAAACAAAAAATATTCCTCCCTCCTTCACTTAGCTTCTATCCTAAAGATAGTGAAAATGTGTTGATCTTGCTAATTAGTCTTTCGAGACTGACTGCGGATTGAAAAAGTGTTGAGAAAATTAAATCTGGAGGAAAAATAGGATGTTTTAGAGGGAATTCATAATATGAGTTGATAGCTCATGACCATGGCAAAATGGAAGGACTCTATTTTAATAAGGGGAAATAAAAATTCAGGATAAGCTAGCTTGTAGAGTCATCATAGCCATGAGAAAACTGGCTATGCAGACTGGCCATTTCAGTGATTTATTGAAAAGTTTGAGCGCAAGGTGGGTCTTGGTTGTTGAAATAAGAGGGTAGGAAAAATGAGATTTGCAGAGCTGAGTGAGAAAGGCATAGGTCCTCTCTCAAGTCTGACTGCCTTGATCATCTCGATAAAGAAAGCAGTATCATGATCAGCTGGAAATAAGATCAGCTCTCCCAGGCATAAATCCTATTAAGGAATTAATGTTCAGTGAACCTTACTTCAGTACTAATGAATTAATTGAAACAATAACTAAGTTATAAACCTTTTAGTGAGCAGTGACCAAGCTTCAGATCCTTGATTATGTTTATATCTCTCTAGTGACAGGCTAAATAGAAACCTGAGTTTTACCTCTGGTGCACACATTTCTTCTTCTTTGCTGGGCCAGTGCTGACCCATACTGACAGTATCCATAGTAGAGGTCAGGTCTAAGGAAAAGGGATGAGGCTACTGCATGGTATTCTGGCAGCTCCAGGTGGATGGAGTAGCAGCCTGCTTGTATCTGTCATGTACAGTACAATTTAGAATAGGTGTGTTATGCTTTCCATGAGCTGGCAGGCAGCTTAAGGCTGATAAAGTGTAAAGGTGAAGACAGATACTGGACCTGAGGGACTGATGCCCACCTCACAATGGGCACGGATCCAGTGCAGCTTCTGTTGATGAGAAATGCTTCACTAAATGTGTTGGAATTCTTGTAATGTCTGCAAAAGAGTGGCTGAAGGGGAAGTAGCAGATGTATTGAATGTTCAGTGAGTCTTTAACAAGTATGAGTACCTCATACGGAGTAGTCTTTGACTGACAGATGACTGCCATGGATCAAAATCCTTTGATATAGTGAAAGGCAAGAGGATTAAATGGTAAATTTTCAATAAATGTGAAGGGACGACCACAGTGAATGTAGGGCAGATGATGCTCTTTCGTGCATGTAGCGACTGCGTAGCAGCAATCACATGCGACATGAGGGCTCATTCCTTGTTACCTCACACGGCGGAGACAGGATTATGAACCAGGAAGCAACTGAGATGGAGAGCCAACCCCCAGCAAAAGCCCAGCGCTGGAATTCTGCTGCTGCAGTGGGATTCCCCATACCCAACATGCCCATTCAGCTGCCGTCTGCAATAGTGGGGAAGCTGCAGCCCTGGGCTGGGAGTGCCCACATTGCCAGCCCTGTGCCAGGGGAGTGGGAGACAGGGACACTGATGGGGTGGAGAAGGATCCTGTGAATCCCTTTGCCCACCTCTGCTTTGTTACAGTGCGGGAAAAGAGGATACCTGAGGAGAAGGCAGATTGCACAGATTACATACTCTAGATTGAGAACATTAAATCCAGAGAAAGATGATAAAGTTTCTACGGGGAGTTAATGACATGAGGTGATGGCCTGTGACCATGGCACAGGAAATTCCTTACAGCTAAATACAAGGCAGTGCAAATTGGAAGGAACCCTTCACACTCGTCACACAGTCAGTCGGTTTTGAATTAGCTGTAACCACTCAAGACAAATCTTGGATGTCAGAGACAGATTAGCAGGTACCCTTGAAGGCTCCTGCTTTGCAATATCTGCACATCTGTGTAAGGGGGAGGAGGCAGGGGAATGGTGCAGAAAAAAAAAAAGGAGGAGTGTATTTAGAGGCTTAGTTTCAACTAGGCTAGGCTGTTGGCTCTGAGGTGAGCTTCCTCATGATGTAATTCTGCAAGAATTAGGGGTTCAAAACATATCTGTGCATGTAAGCAACAGTCTAAACAATAAACATACATATTTTAACATTTCTAAACATCTGTGTAATTGCCTAATCTTCACTTTGTAAAATTCTAGGTAATGATGCTGTGTGAACATTATGTACTTTAAGGAATGCATAGAGCGTGCAGTCTGCTGGTGGTCTTACTGAATCTACAAGTTAGACTGAATCAGGATCTTCAGCTAACCACTTGCAAAGGCATCAGGGGCAGTAAACGGAGAAATATTACTCTAGTATAGGAACATGGCATATAAGAAAAATCTCTACTATGAAAGGTACAAAGATTAAGAAATAATCTCATTGCTTAATAAGAAACGCAGGTCTTAAGAAATGAATTTAATATGTAGAACATGACATCAAGAAGTAATTCTAAGAAAAAAGCATCTAGCTTTCATTTTTAAACAGTTTTTAATACTTTTAATAGTCTCTGCCTTTATTTATTCAAATAATACTTTTCACAGCAATTTTGTCATCCACAGTCTGTCTAGAATCTGGTTGTATTCAAAGGTATTTTGTATTAATTTATTTTTTACAGTGGTCAACCCATTCCCAGAGTGGAGTACACAGCTGAAGAAATTAAAACATGGGGGGTGGTATTTAGGGAACTCAGTAAACTCTATCCCACCCATGCTTGTCGTGAATATTTAAAAAACTTTCCTCTGCTGACCAAGTACTGTGGATACAGAGAGGATAATGTGCCTCAGCTGGAAGATGTTTCTATTTTTCTTAAAGGTAAGATTCATATTTGGTTTGTTAATAGATATGGTTTCATGAAGACACTCTTTTTTGTTAGTATGAAATACAAAGCACATTGAATGAAAAGACTCCCAACTTTGCCAGTGGACTTTGTTTTAGCTGGAAGTATCATTCTGGTTTTGACATCTTCCATGGCAGAGAGTTTGTTGAGTCAGGACAGTTTTATGTATGTGTTTGTGAGTGTGAAGCTGAGAGTAATTAAATAGCTGAATGTGTATCATATGATGTTAACTTGCACAGGGAGAAAAGTCCTTCAGTACAATGAAAAGAAGGAGCAGAGTTAGCTCTGCTCTTCTCGTTGCCACAGGGTGGAAGTTCTGGTAACTGCTGTGGGCATCCCCCTACTATCCAGGCAGGTAAAAGCGGGAATAAAATGTCAAGATAACTGAATTTGAAGAGAGCAGGTTTGGCACACTGTTGCACAGCCTGATGAAAATGAGTCCTTCCTGAGTGCTCAAGACCTCATGAAGATAGTAATTATATTTGTATGTTGAAAAAAATCAGTGGGACTCTATAAGTGATCTGGTACTTCTCTTTCATGTTATTTTTTAAGTGATCAGTATATTACATATTTAGGTTTGAGAATACCCTTATTTTTTAGCTGTAATGGAAGTGTGTCCCATCTGGAAGAAGTAGCAGACATGAACCTGCTGGTTTTAACTCTAGAGGAAAAGCCACCAAAGAGTTCATTTGAGGTTTTCATTTCTCCTCAAGGGTCCCTTCAGATACACATACGTGTTCCTTAATCGTCTTGCTCAGGAGCTCAGGAACTAAAACATGATAAAGACAGGTATTTGGAAAAAAATGTTATGTGCTGTTAAGTATTATGAGAAAGATTAGCAAATAGTTTTGTCACAAATATGTATGGGAAATCTTTAGCTAAGAGAAAGCTTACTTTCCTCTGTCCCTGCTTCATCCATAACTCTTGTTTGTGAACACCTGCATTTATTAATAACTGACTTGCCACTTTTTGAGTTTGGTTGTGTACTTGTGTGTCTCATATATTATGCTCTCTAAGGAATGATGCCAAAGTATACAGGTTCTTTTTCCCTAACTGTAAACTCAAAACCTCACACTTATTTCAGAAATATGTTTTCAGACTAAATGCAGGAATAGTAGTGTCTATTGAAGAAAAACGTGGAACCTTCTCCTGTAAGCACTTGGAAAGAGTAAAGAATTAATTTGGGAGAGAAATGTGCTTTTCGAAGTCACCGAGTCTGAAATTATTCCCCACTGGGACTAATCTGACAAAGGAACACTTTGTTAAATATTTAAATGAGGACCTCAACTGTGAAAGTCAGTATTTTACTGTCACAAACAGTATTTTATCTGTAAAATTAAGGACAGAATTGATTTAATCCTATTCTGTTCTGTTAGCTTTTAATGTATTTTACAGAAGTCATCTTCTGTTTTGGAAACTTGTTTCCCATCTGGTACCAGGCATAAAAATCAGATACTCTGTGATTTGAGAATATCACTTACGGTACCTCACCGTCTTTTCTAGACAAAGGTATTTGAAACAATTTGGAAAACCTTAAAAACTATTTTCATTCAACATATGCTAGCAATGCAAAATATTTATTGTACATAATAGGTGAAAATGATGTGTGGCGATCTTCAGCCAAGGTTCTCTGTGTCATGCTTCTGGTAGAATAATTAACAACAAATCATTATGTGTCCTTAGAAACTGATAGGATATATATAATAGGGTCTTTTATTATCTCCTTCACTTCAGAAAGGTCTGGCTTCACAGTGAGACCAGTTGCTGGATACCTGTCTCCCCGGGATTTTCTAGCTGGCTTAGCATATAGAGTTTTTCACTGTACTCAGTACATACGACACGGCTCAGATCCTCTCTACACACCGGAACCGTAAGTTGCTACATTTTCTTTGGTGCTGAAAAAATATGCTCACTGGATTCTTGAAAGACTCAGCTGAATTTGCCAAGATTAGAAGAGAAACCTTGCTACAAATGTAAAAATCTACTTACACTGTTGATGGCAAAACCTTTCACACTGGTGAGCCAGATTTTAATTCAAATGCTTCTTTTGGACTTTTGACAAGGGTCTTAAATAACTGGGTAATTTATATAGTGGGTCAAAAAACTATGTGGATTATATTTCAGAGGAAAATGGAGTTTTCAACTAAACATTTTGAAAAAGTGTCTAAAATTTTATATTCTGTTGGACAACTAAGGAAAGAAGTTGGGAAAAAAGCCCTGAGTCCTCTGAAAAAAAATTGCTTTTAGAATTATAATTTGGTCTTCTTGTGTCCCCATTTATCTTTTTTGGGCCAGACTCCACAGCTGAACTTCATTTCTCTCCTCACACAACACAAGCAAATCATGAGGCACTATTCTCTTACCCAGAGAGCATATTAGATATGAAGCCTGTTGTAGGGAACATGATAGAAATAAGAGACACTTTAATTATGACTTTCATGGGACAACATTGCAGCTTTTCCAAAATAGAATATTGTGAGTTTGGATGAAATATTTTGGCATTTGGTCTCTTGATGAAAAGTGGGAAAAAAAAAGATCAAAGCGATTGTAGTTCTTGTCTTGTATTATATATGGTGTGCTCTGTGAAGTAATAACAGAACAATACATGTCAGTTAGATAATATGGAGGTAGTTTTACCAAAGGCATCTGCTGATCTTGTGGCCACAGGAATGACATTTTTGCAGTGAATCAGTTGTCAGGCAGTTAACATGAAACTGTAGCTGTTGTTTAGTCAGCTTGGACAATTTGAGTGGATTTTATTTTTGCCAAAATTTACTCAAAGGACTCATACATATATATTCAGCTCCAGTCCTGTAAACATTTGGACACATGCCTAACTTTGATTTCATGAATTGACTGCCAAAACCGTGGAGTAATATTTTTGGATATAAAAAGATTAATGGAACTGCATATTAAGCTGTATCTGAAAATGCTCTAACATCATTCTGGCAGGAGTCACCAGGTGGTGCTGTTATACACTTATCTACTTTTTTCCTCAGCCTGTGAACTCGGCAAAGTATTTGCTGAAATGCTATGAGGCTAGTTTTGTGTGTGTGTGTGTTTCTTTTGGGAAAGAGGTGGTAATCCATGAATGAATTCACTTCTGTAACCTCTGTAATTGGAGTGTTAATCACTTAAATTTGTAGGCAAATTGCTACAATGTAGAATTCTGAAAGAAGATCTTGGATATATGATGCTGGACTTCTTCTGGGCTATCTGAAAATACCTGTAGATACTAAAAAAAAAAAAAAAAAGAAAAAAAAGAAAAAAAGAAATTATAGTTAGGAAGTACCAGGTTTTGCACCAATGATTTCTTCTCCTAAGGGAAGCCAGTGTCTCAGATTCTAGCACCTGCCAATGTTCAGCAAAAGAGTGATGACATTTATTAACTTTATACAAACTAGAAGAACATTTCCAACTACTGACAGAGGATTTAGGTACATAACTCCAACAGAAACAAAGGAAGGAACATCTTCTAGGAAACAATTAAGTGCATCTGTGGTTTTGCTCATGTTCTCTGGTTCATTGATTTGAGACCCCTGTAGTTTTCAGGATGCTGCCTACATTCAGAATTATGCAGTGTATCATAGCTGATCCTTTGTAGTAACGACAACTACTTTTTTTGTAACCTTTCTGGTCATGGTGTCTGGAAAGTCACTGTGTGGTAATAATAGTTCAGTTAGAATGAAGATTTTCATGCCTTATTTGGGCTGAACCTAAAAATCCAGGTTAAGGTCTTAACATCTCTAAACATGACTAACAGAGGAATTAAGTTGTCATTTTCTAATGATGTTGCTCTCTTCTTGCAGACCTGCTTGTTCATATAAATTAAATAATATGTACTGACTATAAGGAACTCCACAAGAAAATTTTAAAAATCCCTTTTAAAATGTCTTTATTTTTTTTCATAAGATAGAGTATATAGTAAGTGTTAACAGAAATGTAGAGTGAAATAGTGTGGTTTTTTTTGTTTGTTTTTTTTTTTTTTTTTAAATCAACCACAAAACTAAATTGACTTGAGTGGGGACAGCTCTTCATCTTCCACAATAGCTGCAATGCCCTGAGATCTACTGGTTGATATATGGGGCCATAATGGGGTTTGCTGCAGGTCGCTGGTTTGGTGAATGTTGCATTTCAGTGATATAAACCTGGTAGAAAGACTCCCTTTGACTTCAGTGGGCTTTCCATCAGATTTAACACTCAGGCTATAGAGCTAGATACAAATTAGTGAGTTCATTTGGTGTGATCTGTATTGCTACTGTATGCATTTTAAAACATTTCTTCCTGAGTTTCATTATGTTTCTACTATATTCACAGAGCTATATAGATTTCCTCTGCTCTGCTAACTAATTTACTCCAAGAAAAATCTTTTGCTGTGAAAAGTACATTACAAAAATCTTATTTTCTCTGAGGAATGTGTGTGAATAAATTAAAGGAACTTAATTATTTTCTGAATAAAACAAAAATATCAAGCCTTGGTAGTTAAGCAAAGAATTATATTGTTTAGACTATCTGTAAAGGGCCAGACTGCCAGGGAAATAGAAGACTCCAATGACAATCCCAAATGCTCACTCATGGTTCTGTCTGATTTTTTTTTTGTTGTTTTTTTGTTCATATGCTTTTTGTTTCAAGCTCCCCTCTTTATAAGTGCACACTCAAAATACTACTTTGCATAGTTTTAATGGAAGAATCTGCAAGCTAAAGGCATGAGAGAAATATCTTCTGCCCCCTCATCCTCCTCCCCTTGCCAGGAGAGACAAGCTAATGTGGCTGGACTTTGTCTGTTCTCATGCTGCCTGCAAGGGTGGATGTGACACAAAAAAAGCCTTTGTCCAGGTGCAGAACTAGGAATAACACATCTTTACTTACTTGTTTCCGGGGGTTGTGGCTTCAGCATTTGGAAAGAGAGATGTAGCCACTCGCTGAGGTACCAATAGGAGTGATGGTGCTGTAGAAGCCTGCCTCGAAACCAGCACACTTACCTAAAGCCAGGAACTTGTAGCCAGTTCGACTATATCTTTGCTCTTGTTACTTGAACTACTGGTGTGAAGTTAAATAGATGTGAACTGATGCAGTGAAGGTGGAGTGCTCAGCAATCAATGTTGATTTCTCCAGTGGAGGTAAGAATTGGAGTTAGAGCTCTGGACTTCCAGAGACCAGGCTTTGTGGCCCGTTTCTGTGTTGAAAGGTGATGGTTGGAGGAGTCAGGTTCCTCCAGTGAATTATTTGGTACTGAGAATTCTCTGGGTCTATCTACCAGACTGCAGAATCCATTTCCCTGCTGTCCTTTGTATTGCTAGAGAGTTACATTTTGCAGGAGATGACAGAAGAAATTGTTGTGACTGGAACTGAATTAATTAAAGAAGGATCGTTAACCTTTATTGATTACTCAGGTGATGCAAACCATCTCCTGAATAAAGAGGTGGATACCATGCAGAGCCAGCCAGTTTTTCAAGTCTGAGCTCCAGTGAGCAGGGGAATACCACCTAAGCTACGGGTCTTGTGGTAGGGAACTTTGATCATCTTGTGAGATTCAGAGCATCACCAGAGCGATGTGGAGATTATAAAAGAGAAGGCTTCTTACCAGCCACTTTTTGAAGAAATTGGGAATTTCCCAGGCCCTGAAAGGACATGCAGTGATGTAGAAACAAGGAAGGAAAGATCCTACTTTCAGGAGGAAGGGCAGGCTTTACCAGGCAGTGAAAAACAAATGCAAATAATTTTCCTTATGTAAGTACAATGTCTGATACTGTTCCCGGCCAGTTGTACTTACCAAACGTGGTTCATGGGTGTTGACTAAACATACTGGTGCACAGTAAACTTGAGCACTCAGCCTGTATTGCTACAACTGAATCTGTAGTCAGTGTCCATGGACCATGTTTGTTTTATCATGCCAGGCACATGTATCTATTTACCTCCCTTGCTTGTATGGGAAATACACATGTCTAGGAAGGAAGAGAAATGAGGTTTGGTGCTTCCTCTGTACTGTTGAATGAATTACTCGTATATGAAATTGGCTCAGGCTTGTCATGCGCAACTTCAGTGCGGTGCTTGTCTCACCAAAAAGCATGAATATAACATGAGCCAATGTTGCTAAGCATCTGTCAGTGAGGCCATCTGGGCTGAGAAGAGACTTGTATGTAACCCTCCAATACTGGAACTGTATTTGATAAGCTTTTGGTGAGGCAAACTAGGAATGCTAAAAATGCTAATCTTCATTTGCACACATTCAGAAACTACTATCTACTACTATCTACCTAGGCACAGTGTTGGCACAGACTTCTTGGTGAAGAGTACTGAGTAAGGAGATTTTAAATTATGTAGAGTGTTGTTTTTCTGTTCATGATTTATCTGAAGTGTCAGGTTCTGTGTCTTTTCAAACAAAAATAGTTTATAAAAGACAAATTGGATGATTTTGGATGGAAAGCAGAAAACTTGATGTTTTCTCCCTGCCTCTAAAAGATTTGTTTACAGCTTAGGGGAAAAAAAAAAAAAAAAAGAGAAATGTCTTTGAAGAGACAAAAGCAAAGGAAATGTCAGATCCGATTTTTAAAGTGAACTTTACTACCAAGTCCATTATTTTCTGTGAACAAATACACCAAAACTTTCAGAATTGTTTGAGAGCTTTTTTAGATGATGCATGTGCACTTTTGTTAGGTTGGTTAGCAGTTTTTTGTACACTTGTATCTGCACTTTGTCATGACTAATAATGCACTTACAGATGTGGACAGCAGTTCTTTCTGAAACAATTCGGGTTCTCTGCTTTTTCTAAACTCTGCTTAGTGAAAAGTGGACTGTGTAACAAAAGTACCCAGTAATTGCAGTAGGAACTCAGGACTAAATGAGAAATAGAGCACACAGAAGTCTCTGTAATTATTGCCCTGAATTTCTAGTGGCAAGTGACAGAATGTTTGGTTGTGGACCTGCACCCACGTGTGTAAAAGGGAATGGAGAAGAGGGAATGTGTTGGATTTTGAACTTGATTCATGTGGAGAGAAATGCTGAAAAGTATACTTGTGAGACATCTGACTTTCCTTTGGGCAGTTCAGTCTTCATGGTATTAAGCCTGGAAGACAGCAGTGGCCCTCCCACTCAGTCTGGAAATGAAAGGGAAATCATGGAACTGATGGGGTTAAATGAAATAAAACCCATTTAATAGAAACAAGCATGTACGTTTCTACAGAACCATACACAGGGAAGAACTACTACACTATAAAAACCATGTTTCATGCTAAGACTTTTAAAGCAGAGTTGAGACCCATGTAAAATGTCTTATGTTAAATGAATTATGGAATGATTATGGCATTAATTTCTGTAATAACTCTCTTTTCATTTCCATTGCCTTAGGGATACATGCCATGAACTCCTGGGACACGTGCCTCTACTTGCTGATCCCAAGTTTGCACAGTTTTCACAAGAGATAGGACTTGCTTCACTGGGAGCATCTGATGAAGATGTGCAGAAATTAGCCACTGTGAGTCAAAATCTTTTTGTGGCATGCTCTCTCATTTGTTCTCCTCTTTGGTTGATAAAGCGACATGCATTGTTTTGCTAGAGCTGACTGCATTTTCAGGTTGCAGATCACTGTGATGTGACAATCATAAAGCTTTAGGTTAATTTTTCCATTGTTTTTAATAATAGTAAAGCTGAACACACTAGTCTTCAAGTAGTCAGTTTTACTTTTTATTTGCAATAACCACCAATTTTCAGGGCTAGCTGAGATGGATTTTGTCTACTTTAAGGTGCTGAAAACAAGTAAGCAAGGTAATTTTGAAAAAAAAAAAAAAAAAAAGCCAAGCAGGAAAACATTTTGGTGTGTGCTCTCAGCTCTACACTGTTAGATCCTCCACAGGTGGCCACTTTGGCTCTTAGCACTGCTATTTCTGTACTCACTGTTATGTTTTGCAGCTGTTCACTGTATTGTAGTGCGTGATGGATTTTGAGATTACCTTGCATCCTTGCTGCTGCTCGTGTCAGAGAATATGTAGTTACTGAGCCAAGGCTGTGCAGCAGTAGATCTAGACCAAGGTGAAGAGCCTCGGCCAGTAGCTGTGAGATGGATCCTATGTTGCATCAAAATGAGGCACATGCCAGTAGATAGTGTGAACTGGAAGAGGTTGCGTGTTAAAGATGTTAGATGCTACTGACTACCTGACTGGAGCCTTCTTGGCCCTTGTGTGAGGGACCCTCAGGTTGCACTGAAGGGCCCTGTCAAGTTGCCAGGCCTCTAGGCTCCCACCTACCTGTCAGCCTTGCTGTATTGACATTTCCAAATAACTTGTATGCAGCCCTTTGTGGTATGACATAGGTTAGTGAGCCCTAGTCTAGACTACTTGCTCTGTTCAGTTGTTTTAATTTACTGTATGCTTCCTTATGTGGCTCCTGTTAAAACTAATGCTGCAAATAATTTAATGAACTATATTGTATTAAAAAACAACTTGATATTTAAATATTTTATCTCATGAAAAATTCTGTGAGATCCAGCAGAAGAATTGGTTACTTTGAAAATTACTCAGCATACTAATGATTTTCTACACAAGAAGTGTAGTGGGGATTTAAAGGGTTGGAAGTAACTTGGACACTGTGTTGAAGGTGGATTCAAACCAGGTCCAGTTAAACTGTAATAGTTTTGATGCACTGGCTTATCAGTGGTTTAGAGTCCCATCTGCTGAGAGAGACGTTTGTATCCATTTATTTGATTTTAATCCTGTAGCCCTCCAGAAGAGGCTACTAAATTTATTTAATCAAAGTGGCCTAACTCCTTAGTTAGACAAGGCTCAGTGTCTTGCTCATGGCTCGTTCTTCTCACGTGCTTTAGGGTGTGTCCTTTGGTTTTCTAATGGATGTTTACTGAGAAGAAACTCGTTTGCATGGAGGAGTCATGACACTTGTGTGTCTATTTGTATGTTTCCTAGGTAGGGACTTAGTAGGAAGCAGAACTACTTTGTCACAACCTGCAGCCTCAAAAGAAACTGCCTAACTGGCTGTCCCCGTACATACTTTGAGGAAAACATATGTCCAAGTCTTTTAACCCAAAATAACTTTGGATGACATGGGCCTATTGCAGAGAACTATCTTGGGCTGATCTGTTTGGGCAGAGATACTATTATAAAGTGACCTCTGAATATTATATAAATGCTTTTACTCCTCCCCCTCACAGAAGTTCCCAGTTATGACTGACTCTGTCATCCGAACAATGAGCTGCTCCTGAATCACAAAGCCAAAAATAAGACAGCTGAATCACTTTCCCTCATCACACTGAAAATTTGGTATCTGAGTCAAAGCTGATTTCTCCTCCCATGCTGGAAATAGCTCTTTCAGGTGGAAGAGACATTTAGAGAGAGACTTAAGGTAACCCAGGTGGTGTTAGGTTTTGTAGGAGCACAATGAGGGGCTGTACTCCCCATGGGTCAGGTGCTTGATGAATACAGAGATGTTACTTGCCCTAAAACTTTCAACATAAATGGTCAACTTGAGAGCAGGTAGAAGGAACATCTCTGAGCAGTGAAGGTGAGGAGGCCAAGAGATTAATTCATCTGGGCACCAAGGTGCTATTAACTGACTTCTGCAACATTTGGTCCCATTTCAGTCCTGTATAAAAAGGAGAGACACAGTGAGCTGAGAAATGCCAGCCAAGTTTTAAGACAGAAAAGCAGTGCAGGTTCCAGCAAGGCCAACTTCAAAGTAAATAGAGAAACAAATGAATGGAGAGAGAACATGCATATTAATGAGCTTGAAGCAATATGCCCAAAGCAAGCTTGCCATTAACATGTCCTGTTTCAAAAGATAGTGACATTAACAGCTCAGCCATTGTAGGGAGGACAGTGGCTTTAGGAAGAGAGGAAAATGCCTCTTAGGAATTCAGATCAGAAAGGGAAGAATTATTACAGGTGATTTCATCATCTTTCTCTCCATTCTGCTTTCAGAAGCCACCATGTATCAGCCTTGATAGGTTTGCTCTTTGTGCCCCATCAGTCCTGAGCTGCAAAGGAAATGTGCTGCTGGTTTTGTCCCTGCAGAGCTGACACAGTGGATGTAGAGCAAGCTGGAGTCTGGTCCCTGGGCAGTCTAGAAGTGTTTGCTAAATTGAAAATAGTCACATCTGTGCAGCCACAGTGAGGGCAGGGATTAAGTGGGAGAGCATTGCAGAGGCCCTGGTGCTGGCCAGCTGGAGGGAAAAGGATGGCTGTAGGATAAGAGGGTTGAAGAGAAAGGCTGTGAGCTCCCCGCTCCCCTCATCCTCTTGTTTGAGTCTGGTAGTCAGGTGGGGGCAAGGAGAAAGGAACTGCTTCTGCTCCTTTTTTAACTTAAGCGTTCTTACCATGAGAAGTGGAATATTGAAAGAGCCAAGCAAATGTAGACTTTTTTTGAGAGTTGCAGTTTCCTTCACAATGTTTTAAGAAAGTGAGAAAGAGGGAAGATACAAAAAAAAAAGTGACTGAGAGATACATTACTGAAACAAAGCAAAATATCTGCACAATCCACTTTTTCACATGTAATATGGTATAATGTGGTTACTAGTTGAGGAAATACAATATTGGCCATGCATGTCTAGGTGATAATTATTATCATCGTCATCACTAATGTCTTGTGCTACTCTGTATGACTTTCTGAAAATGGTTTTGAGTTGATTTTTCAAGCATGCCTGGTCTTTCTACTTTAATATAGTACAAAAATAAACAAAGGCTGTGTTTTCTGCTTACCTATCAAACTACAAGCTGTAGGGAGGACTTGACATGAGGTGTTTCAACTAATTTATATAATATATCATTTACAACACATTTAACAGCACATAATGTAAGGTTTTGTCAGGAAAATTGTACAAAATATATACCTGGGTTTACATTTCAGTATTACCTTGTAATTTGTGGACTTGGGAACCAGAGAGCAGCTGTCTTTGTAAAGCTGCAAGTTGATAAGCAGGATCCTGTCTCTCTTGCTAATGGTAGAAATGACTCCTAGCTCCTGCTGAGTTGTTTAAGCACAGCTCAGGTTGCCCCTTTATGGTGAAGTACGTATAGGATGTGTTTGTGTATATAAAATTCAGAGGGGCACGTTAACTGGTGGTGGTTCAGAAAAGAGGAGGTTAGCAGAGTGTCTGTGGTCTGTATGGAGCTTATCATCAAATCTTTGCACTCAAGAATTTTGCCATTAGGGACTAATTAGTCACACTAAGTTGTGGGTTGGTTTTTGTTTTTTTGTTTTTTTTTTTTTTTTTTTTTATCCAAGTGGTTTCTTACTGGAAGCTATGTTTACATCTTCTCTAGAACTGTAAAATTGTTAAGTTTTAATCTTTCTTGATATTTGTTCTGTTATTTTAACAGTGTGTGGGACAGTAGAAATCAATAAATTTCTCTTGTTTTTGATAGTCTTTATGCAGAAAACCACATGAGCAAGTTACTTCTGAATTTGAAGGAATTGTTTGTGATGAGGCCTTGTAAATGCATTTCAGGCTTGTTATGAATCTAAATGTTTTACCTTGCCTGGATGATGACTGAGGTCAATGGTTTATTTCTAGAGCTGACTTTAATTTATCTGTATATGTGTCACAAAAAATATTTTAGATATATATGCTGAGATAAAAATAACATTCAGAACTGCCTCTCTGGAAGAAGTCAGTGGTAATTCATGTAAGCTCACTTGCCTGTCTTCTCTCAGGATCTATGTTATCTGGTCTTGTTAGCTTCGTTCTAGTTCTTCTCCCACTCTGAAGAACTGGCACATAATTCAGGACAATTGCATGTTATGTTTGCTGAGGAGATAACCATAATGGAAGAAATGAGGAGTGTTGTACATAAAGATTGAGTTGCATTTGGTAACTTACGTTAGATACAGAGTTTGTGGTCTCACTAGACAGAGCAGACTGTTGCAGTCTCTCATCTTCACAAACAACAGATTAGATTTCCCAGAGGGGCTATTTGATAGTGCTAGGCCATAAGTACAGCTTGTGAACTAGATTACTGTCTTCCTCCATGAATGAACAAATGGAGCCGAGAAGAAAACTACGAAAATATTTGAGATTTTCGAACATTCCCACTGTGCATCTGAAAAATCAAAACTGCTTGCATGTTTCTCATTCATAGTTACAAAATGATAGACAGTGAACTAACCACTGTTGTAAGTCTGTGATTAGCTCCCCTGCTGAAGCTATTCTGCCATATAAAAATAATTCTGTATTGGCCAACTGAAACCAGGTATTATAGCCCAAGAGCTATGGCAGTCACTGAGCATATTGAAGTTTAACATTCAAATCTCTGCTCAGTCTTTTTCCTGTGTCCCAATCGCATGCCATGATTGTGTGACAAATGCCAAGAGTGAGCATGGTGAGTACCCTAAGTCCAGTGGTGACATAATGGAGTTTCTTACACAGGGGTTTGCTTTCGGCTACATCTGTAGTTAATGAATAAAGGAGCTGCAGCACCAAGAGCTGGGAGTGAATATAATTCAAAAACTGCTTGAGCAAATTTTGACGGA